GAGACCAGAGAGAGACCAGAGAGAGAGACCAGAGAGAGACCAGAGAGAGACTAGAGAGACCAGAGAGAAACCAGAGAGAGACCAGAGAGACCAGAGAGAGAGACCAGAGAGAGACCAGAAAGAGACCAGAGAGAGACCAGAGAGAGAGACCAGAGAGAGACCAGAGAGAGACTAGAGAGACCAGAGAGAAACCAGAGAGAGACCAGAGAGACCAGAGAGAGAGACCAGAGAGAGACTAGAGAGACCAGAGAGAGACTAGAGAGAGACCAGAGAGAGACCAGAGAGAGACCAGAGAGAGACCAGAGAGAGACCAGAGAGAGACCAGAGAGAGACTAGAGAGACCAGAGAGAGACCAGAGAGAGACCAGAGAAAGACCAAAACACTTTTTTATACAGCGCCTTTCTCAGTCGCCGTAACTTTTCTCTCATGGAAGCTTTTGAGCAACTTGTCGAGTTGTTATTTTGTGATTTACCGCCGAAGTGCGATATCTTTGTTCATGTTCCTCCATTCTCTATTTTCAGATTGCTTCACAAGAACTTCCTCCTTGGTTAAAAATAGAAGACTATAAATGTTCAAAGTTGTCCTGGTCCTGCGGCTGTTTTCTGCTCATCTCTATATTTACACTTCACACGTGTCAGCATCACACACTCAGACTTTGACAGGAGCTAAAAACACTGTGGGTGCGACGGGCGACTTCTGACGGCTAAATTTAGAACCGCCCTGAGGTCATTCCGCGAGGTTCTATGCTTTTTACGGCTTTTCTCGGTTGCGTCGAGGAGAAAAATGACACTGATCGCCGACTTGATGTGTAGTTTGAGCGGAGCTTTGGATGTGATCTCGTTTTGATTGAGATTAGCAGAGAGAGAGACCAGAGAGAGAGAGAGAGAAGAGAGAGAGAGACCAGAGAGAGAGAGACAAGAGAGAAACTAGAGAGAGACCAGAGAGAGAGAGACTAGAGAGAGAGACCAGAGAGAGAAGAGAGAGAGAGACCAGAGAGAGAGAGACAAGAGAGAGAGAGACCAGAGAGAGAAGAGAGAGAGAGACCAGAGAGAGAGAGACAAGAGAGAGAGAGACCAGAGAGAGAGAGACAAGAGAGAGAGAGACCAGAGAGAGAGAGACAAGAGAGAGAGAGACCAGAGAGAGAGAGAGAAGAGAGAGAGACCAGAGAGAGACCAGAGAGAGAGAGAGAAGAGAGAGAGAGACCAGAGAGAGAGAGAGAAGAGAGAGAGAGACCAGAGAGAGACCAGAGAGAGAGAGACCAGAGAGAGACCAGAGAGAGACCAGAGAGAGACCAGAGAGAGACCAGAGAGAGAGACTAGAGAGAGAGACCAGAGAGAGACCAGAGAGAGACCAGAGAGAGACTAGAGAGAGACTAGAGAGAGACCAGAGAGAGACTAGAGAGAGACTAGAGAGAGACCAGAGAGAGAGAGACAAGAGAGAAACTAGAGAGAGACCAGAGAGAGAGAGACCAGAGAGAGAGAGACCAGAGAGAGACCAGAGAGAAACCAGAGAGAGACCAGAGAGAGACCAGAGAGAGACGTTAGAGACACTAGAGAGAGACTAGAGAGAGAGACCAGAGAGAGAAGAGAGAATGACCAAATAGAAAGACCTGAGAGAGAGAGACAGAAAGAGAGACCAGAGAGAAAAAAGAGAGAGTGACCAGAGAGACCAGACCATTCCGCGAGATTCTAAATAAACATGCTTTTCACTGCTTTTCTCTGTTGTGTCCAAAAGAAAAATTCACCGATCGCCGACTTGATCTACAGATTTTAAAATGTGCTCGTTATATGATGATAATAATAATAATAACAATACGTTATTTCTTTGTGGCTGTCTTTGTGGAAACCAGATCCCGTCAGACCCCTGAGGCTAAGCAGGTTATGGCCTGGTTAGCACTGCGATGGGAGACCTCTAGGAACAGCAGGTGCCACAGTGGGGCGGCTGGCAGGACACTTCAACCACATTGCAAATTCTGCTTTTCATGCATTCAGTCGGGGGGGGTGGGGTCAGGTAAAGTGGGGTTAAGTGTCTTGCCCAGTGGACTGTTGTGATTTAAAGCAATACAAAAATACATCAAATTGAAATGCATAAATGTAAGTGTCTACACTGGACTAAACACATCTATAACAAACGGTCTTTCCACTTGGGTAACTATAAGTGTCCGTGTTTCTCTAATAGCTCTCTGTATCACTGCGTTTGTCCATATTGTCAGAGTCATATTTATAAGCGCCGGAGTAGACCCGACTCCCCACCAGCCCCCGTCCCTCCCAAGACTCTCTAAACGTGCGCCGAGGTCTTAATGGCACCGATTAAAAAGCAATTTAACAGAGAAAAGGGGATTAGCAACAGTACGGTCGCGCTAATCCTTAACCTTTAGTCACTGTATGCGCGCCACGATAGCATCACCGCACCGCAATGCTACATCCCCATTAGCGTGCGCCGATTCCCCCCAGCGCACACCGGCATCGGAACCCGGCGGCGCCAGAGAAAGTTTCAATTCAATTAATTTTTGTATAGAGCTAAATTGCGAAACAGTGGTTATCTCTGAGGACTGTACTGTACTGAACAAACACATAGAGCCATAGAGCCAAATGTTGTTAAAACCACTGTCCTGAGACCCTCCTGTATCGGCAAAGAACAACTCTAAGATTAATTATATAGCATTGCTTTTATACAGTGCTTTTCGTCTCACTTTATGGCCCCGTTTAGATGGAGGCGCTGCGCAGACGTCGCAAAGCAAGTACCAGAAACGACCAGGCTCCTGCGCAGCGTTTAGATGAGACGTGAAAACAATGTAGTTCTAGCGCCCGGCCAATAGGGGGCAGTGAAACTTTACAACACGACACACCTGACCCCCAGCAGTATATTCACTTCCTCAACAACATCCTCCTCAGAAAGAACCGGAAAGAACCAACATAATTCTGCATTTAACAATAGCTGCGTTAATGGAAACTGAAACTACAACTTTGGTTCGGACGAAAGAGTAGAATTCTCCTCCGTTAGCGAAGTTAGCGAAGCATAGCTAGTTAGTGTACCCGCCGCCATTGTTGTTTACGTTTGTGCTGCGCAAGTCCAAATGTACGTGCGGGAAGGTGGGGGGGTCCTAGCAGCGGAGAATTCACACCTTTTTCTTCATGGGGCTGTGAAAGAGCAGCGTGTCGGAGCAGTTCCACTCTGGAGGCTGGATCTTAACGCTTCCGTTTTCACAATAAACACAGTCTCCATGTAAACAAAAGGCCAAACCGATACCAACTCCAACGTTTTACTGTCGCAGCGTCTCCGTCTAAGCAGGGCCTAAGACTCTTCACACTGTGGCACTTACAGATTCCCAGAGGTCTCCCATCACTGTACTAACCAGGCCTTGCTCCCTTAGCTTCTGGGGTCAGACTACAGTCTATGGGTCGGACGGAGTTAGGCCTTCACATGCAGGTGGCGCCACTAGAATGCAAAATGGTGACTGGGTAGGAAGGTAGGAAGTTTATTCATGTGGAAATAGCTGCTTCTTGGAGAGGAGCCAGTGGAGGGGGCTCGCACCTCTGTTTGGGACGCCTCCCGGGGACTGGGGAGAGGTGCTTAATGGTCCGGCAAGTGATGTACATAAACCTCCAGACTGAGGAGAAACAAACCACTCCTAATTGGATTCTCTTTCTTTTTTAACAGCACCGTTCACTGTTGACAGAAGTGAACGATGGAGGTTCTGGGCAAGTTTATTGTATAGCACAGTTTATACACTGGAAATGTCAAAGTACTGAACAAAACAAGATACAATCAGTCACACATGGTATAACATAAATAACACTGGACACTGGACATAAGATCCCCCAGTTGTGTGCACGGCTAAACAGAAGTGGTTTTATCCTGGATGGTTCTTATGGCTCTAACATGTCACAGATGTACAGGAACTTAATGAACACTTTTGAGTCTGGAGAATGTTCGGATGATCACACAGACACAGTTCAACCTCTCTGCTGCGCTGTCTGTCTCTGTGTCTGTCTCTGTGTCTGTCTGTCTCTGTGTCTGTCTCTGTGTCTGTCTGTCTCTGTGTCTGTCTCTGTGTCTGTCTCTGTGTCTGTCTCTCTCTGTGTCTGTCTCTGTGTCTGTCTCTCTCTGTGTCTGTCTCTCTCTGTGTCTGTCTCTGTGTCTGTCTGTCTCTGTGTCTCTCTCTCTCTGTGTCTGTCTCTCTCTGTGTCTGTCTCTGTGTCTGTCTCTGTGTCTGTCTCTGTGTCTGTCTCTGTCTGTCTCTGTGTCTGTCTCTGTCTGTCTCTGTGTCTGTCTCTGTCTGTCTCTGTGTCTGTCTCTGTGTCTGTCTCTCTCTGTGTCTGTCTCTGTGTCTGTCTCTGTGTCTGTCTCTCTCTGTGTCTGTCTCTGTGTCTGTCTCTGTCTGTCTCTGTGTCTGTCTCTGTGTCTGTCTCTGTCTGTCTCTGTGTCTGTCTCTGTGTCTGTCTCTGTCTGTCTCTGTGTCTGTCTCTGTGTCTGTCTGTCTCTGTGTCTGTCTCTGTGTCTGTCTCTGTGTCTGTCTCTGTGTCTGTCTGTCTCTGTGTCTGTCTCTGTGTCTGTCTCTGTGTCTGTCTCTGTGTCTGTCTCTGTATCTGTCTGTCTCTGTGTCTGTCTCTCTCTGTGTCTGTCTGTCTCTGTGTCTGTGTCTATGTCTGTCTCTGTGTCTGTCTGTCTCTGTGTCTGTCTCTGTGTCTGTCTCTGTGTCTGTCTGTCTCTGTGTCTGTCTCTGTGTCTGTGTCTGTCTCTGTGTTTGTCTCTGTCTGTCTCTGTGTCTGTCTCTGTGTCTGTCTCTGTGTCTGTCTCTGTGTCTGTCTGTCTCTGTGTCTGTCTCTGTGTCTGTGTCTGTCTCTGTGTTTGTCTCTGTCTGTCTCTGTGTCTGTCTCTGTGTCTGTCTCTGTGTCTGTCTCTGTGTCTGTCTCTGTGTTTGTCTCTGTCTGTCTCTGTGTCTGTCTCTGTGTCTGTCTGTCTCTGTGTCTGTCTCTGTGTCTGTCTCTGTGTCTCTCTCTGTGTCTGTCTCTGTGTCTGTCTCTGTGTCTCTCTCTGTGTCTGTCTCTGTGTCTGTCTGTCTCTGTGTCTCTCTCTGTGTCTGTGTCTGTGTCTGTCTGTCTCTGTGTCTCTCTCTGTGTCTGTCTCTGTGTCTCTCTCTGTGTCTGTCTCTGTGTCTGTCTCTGTGTCTGTCTCTGTGTTTGTCTCTGTCTGTCTCTGTGTCTGTCTCTGTGTCTGTCTCTGTGTCTGTCTCTGTGTCTGTCTCTGTGTCTGTCTCTGTGTCTGTCTCTCTCTGTGTCTGTCTCTGTGTCTGTCTCTCTCTGTGTCTCTAACCCTGTCTCTGTCCTATTCTGTCTGTCTCTATCTCTGTTTCTGTGTCTGTCTCTGTCTCTCTGTCTCTCTGTCCTATTCTGCCTGTCTCTCTCTCTCTGTGTCTCCCTCTCTCTCTTTCTTTGTCCATGTCTCTCCCCCCCTCTCTCTCTCTGTGTGTGTGTGTCTTACTGTCCCTCTCTCTCTCTCTCTCACGCTATGTGTGTCTCTCTCTCTGTCTCTTTCTATCTGTCTGTCTCTATCTCTCTCTGTCTCTCTCTATGTGTATCTCTCTCTCTCTCTCTGTGTGTCTCTCTCTCTCAGTGTCTCTCTCTCTGTCTCTCTCTCTGTGTGTCTCTCTCTCTCGCTGTGTGTGTCTCTCTCTCTGTCTGTCTCTATCTCTCTCTGTCTCTCTCTCTCTGCGTATCTCTCTCTCTCTCTCTCTGTGTTTGTGTCTCTCTCTGTCTCTCTGTCCCCCCCTCTCTCTCTCTCTCTCTCTCTCTCTCTCTGTCTCTCTCTCAGTGAACCGGGGCAGAGTGCTCCTCCGTCAGGCATCGTCTCAAACATCAATCTTTCATTCCTACATTTGTGAAAGATTCCATTTTCTGCACTTTGTGGCTCTCTCCGTTGGTCATCAGCTTTTATTTATACATCACAGTCTATACATAATTCAAACCTATATTTCGGAGGCTGCTTTTAAACGTGGATTTGCCAGAAAAGTACAGTACATACCATTTCTATTTCGGAGTCAGAGTGCGTGCCTTGTAGCTGCTAGCGTTATGCTAACACAGGTCATGCTAACAGGTGACCCAGGGAAGCACCAGGATGTTCATATTATTTGATTTAATTTGTGTCAAGAGTCATTTGGACGTTATTTCTGACCCATTTAGATGTGTTTGTTGACGACTGGCCATCGCTGCTTTTTTGTTAAATTTGTTTTTTTAATGTATAACTGTCTTTATTTGCATTATTTAAGGTCTGACAACTCATGGCAGATGGCAATGACAGTTCAAAATAAAAAAGATGCACCAACTACAGCCCAAATAAATGGACAGGTGGAAACACTCCCAGTCCAGACAGAGCAGAGCCGAGTAGAGAAGGGCCAAGTAGGGCTGGTGGAAATGGGGCTTTGATGCTCACACAGACCGTCCCTGAGCTAGAGCTGATGTTTGTATGTATCCAGGTGGTTCTCTAACTCCCCCCTCTCCCCCTCTCCTCTCCCACAGGCCTCCTCTGAGCAGAAGCAGCTGAGCCATGCTGGATCCTCGCCCTCCTCCCTGTGTGAGAGCAGCGGACGCCCTCAGATAGCCATGAACACCTGTAAGTACAATGGCGGAGTCGTCCGGCCACTAGGGGGCAGTCTGGCGTCGTCGTCGCGGAGGAACCTGGCCGACCTGGACTCGGAGACGCAGCCGCTGCAGACGCTGCACAGCTCTGGGCTGGAGGTGGTGGTCTCCAAGGGCAACGGCGAGGACCCCAGCAAGGCGTCCAACGAGAGCCTGGTCCGGGAGGGCAGCCGCAGCGGGGGCCGAGCGCCGCAGAAGAAGAACAAAGACATCGGCTACAAGCTCGGCCACAGGAGGGCGCTGTTCGAGAAGAGGAAGCGGCTCAGCGACTACGCTCTCATCTTTGGGATGTTTGGGATCGTCGTCATGGTGACGGAGACAGAACTGTCCTGGGGGGTTTACACCAAGGTGGGTCCGCTTCACTTTACACAAGAACACCAAAGATGGATAAAGCTGTGATGATGAAAAGATCTGTGAGAGGGAAATCTAAGTCCTTCTGAAATACTATTCCCAGGCCGGGTTTTGGGGCCGGGTTTAGGGGCCGGGTTTAGGGGCTGGGTTTTGGGGCCGGGTTTAGGGGCCGGGTTTAGGGGCCGGTTCCAAGCCCCGGTGATCCAAGATGGCGCCCTATTCAAATCAATGGCTTGTGCTCAGTAGTGCATGGGACCGATAGATTAGTGGAACTCGCCCATATTTGGGCATTGTCTGGTCCTCCCGGTTCGGCGCAGTGAAAAAGCTCCCATGATGCATTGCGCCAAATACAGGGATCCCATCATTACGCCATGAAACGCAGTGGGTGAAAAGCAAACAACAATAACAAATAAAACAAAATAAGATATTCTGGTTGTTTGTTGTTGATAACCGCTCTATAGCAGACTCCTCACTCATGGTTGGACTCTCGCCTGCGCTCAGCTAGCACCTCAGCTAGCTTCTCACCTCGCTAACATCCATCTCCATCACACTACGACATCTGCGGCTCTATCGTAAACGCATCATGTCCCGTTCAGCTTCAGGGGTCAGCCGCCATAACCGTAATAAACGTGACTTATTGTGACGGTGTGAATACCTGGGAGTGACCGCCTGCGTCTGTACGGTGCAGGTCGCAGACGCCGGTTCAGAGGCCGCAGTGACGGATGGAGCAGCGGCGGGTAACAGACCCAGACGCGCTGTTAATACCACATACATCAGTCTATAGATTATCTCTGTCCTGATGCGAGCGCTGAGAGAGTCCTTCAGCTGTCCGATGTCCGACTCTGCTCGGACACTTACAGCCTGGTGATGATCCACGACATTCAACGACATTTATGGACATTGGTCTCTACCCTTTATGGTCCAATGGCTCTATGTGTTTTTTATTATTGAATTTCCTGTCTTTGAATTGTTTGATTTTCTGATCTGTGTCGGCGACTTGATAGCTGTGTAAAATCCTCTGAGAAAGGCAGTAACCACTGTTGTGATTTAGGGCTATACACAAATACATTGAGTTGAATGGAATGGAACGGCTTGGTATGATGGCGATACTTTTGATTTGAAAATGTTCTTCTGGGTACAGATGTCTACACACGTCCTCCAGCTCTTCTGGGGGAATCCTGAGGCGATTCCAGGCCAGGTGCGGGTCATGGTCCCTACAGTGGGTCCTGATGATGGTGAGGATGAGGATGTGGTTGAGGCTGAGGCTGAGGCTGAGGCTGAGACTGAGGCTGAGGTTGAGGCTGAGGCTGAGGCTGAGGTTGAGGTTGAGGCTGAGCATGAGGTTGAGGCTGAGGTTGAGGCTGAGGTTGAGGCTGAGGCTGAGGCTGAGGTTGAGGTTGAGGCTGAGCATGAGGTTGAGGCTGAGGTTGAGGCTGAGGTTGAGGCTGAGGCTGAGACTGAGGCTGAGGTTGAGGTTGAGGCTGAGGCTGAGGCTGGTGATGATGATGCTGAGGCTGAGGCTGAGGATGAGGTTGAGGTTGAGGCTGAGGCTGAGGCTGAGGTTGAGGTTGAGGCTGAGGTTGAGGCTGAGGCTGAGACTGAGGCTGAGGATGTGGTTGAGGCTGAGGCTGAGGCTGAGACTGAGGCTGAGGTTGAGGCTGAGGCTGAGGTTGAGGTTGAGGCTGAGCATGAGGTTGAGGCTGAGGCTGAGGTTGAGGTTGAGGCTGAGGCTGAGGTTGAGGTTGAGGCTGAGGTTGAGGCTGAGGATGAGGTTGAGGCTGAGGTTGAGGCTGAGGTTGAGGCTGAGGTTGAGGCTGAGGTTGAGGCTGAGGCTGAGGCTGAGGTTGAGGCTGAGGTTGAGGCTGAGACTGAGGCTGAGGCTGAGGTTGAGGCTGAGGCTGAGGTTGAGGTTGAGGTTGAGGTTGAGGCTGAGGCTGAGGTTGAGGCTGAGGCTGAGGCTGGTGATGCTGAGGCTGAGGCTGAGGTTGAGGCTGAGGCTGAGGTTGAGGCTGAAGCTGAGGTTGAGGTTGAGGTTGAGGCTGAGGTTGAGGCTGAGGCTGAGGCTGAGGTTGAGGTTGAGGCTGAGGCTGAGGATGAGGTTGAGGTTGAGGCTGAGGTTGAGACTGAGGCTGAGGCTGAGGTTGAGGCTGAGGCTGAGGTTGAGGTTGAGGTTGAGGCTGAGGCTGAGGTTGAGGCTGAGGCTGAGACTGAGGCTGAGGCTGAGACTGAGGCTGAGGATGAGGCTGAGGCTGAGGCTGAAGATGATGATGCTGAGGTTGAGGCTGAGACTGAAGATGATGATGCTGAGGTTGAGGCTGAGACTGAAGATGATGAGGCTGAGGTTGAGGGTGAGGCTGAGGCTGAGACTGAAGATGATGAGGCTGAGGTTGAGGGTGAGACTGAAGATGATGAGGCTGAGGTTGAGGGTGAGGCTGAGGCTGAGACTGAAGATGATGAGGCTGAGGTTGAGGGTGAGGCTGAGACTGAAGATGATGAGGCTGAGGTTGAGGGTGAGGCTGAGACTGAAGATGATGAGGCTGAGGTTGAGGGTGAGGCTGAGGCTGAGACTGAAGATGATGAGGCTGAGGTTGAGGGTGAGGCTGAGGTTGAGGCTGAGACTGAAGATGATGAGGCTGAGGTTGAGGCTGAGGCTGAGACTGAAGATGATGAGGCTGAGGTTGAGGCTGAGGCAGAGACTGAGGCTGGTGATGGTGATGTGAGGCTGAGGCTGCAGAGACATACATCATATGGAGCAGCAGATTGTAGAGCGTCTTTAGCGTCCAGTCTGCTGACCGTCTGCTGGACCTCATTTGGCTCATGTCAGACACACACACACACACACACACACACACACACACACACACAGAGACGAAGCCATCAGAACAACAGCAAAACGCATGGAGCGCTTCTTTGCTCTGTGCAGGGAAGGAATAAAGGCAATTTGAATGTGCTGGAAACGACGGCGAGTCCTGAGTCGCTCTGAAACAGTTGTTATTTTCTGTTTTACAAAACAGTAAATGTTACTACAGTTTTCATGGTTTTACACTGGTCCAGACCAGAACAGAGAGGATGGTCCCAACCAGACAGCTCAAGCTGAAATCCACTGACGAAATGCATTTAAAAATAATAAAAGCTAACAAAGCATACCGAATTTCACTCTGAACCAGAGCAGGGAAAATGGTCCGAGCCAAGCAGACTCTATACATGGACCAGAGGAAGCAGCTCATCACCTCTGCTGCTGCTGAACTTTATTTACTATTGTTTGTCACTTTTAGAATTATTTATTAGTTTGTTTATTTGGATGTGTTTCTGCTGCTGGACTAGAATGTATCCTGCCGGGATCAGTAAAGTATCTATCCAACATCTAATCTATCTCATGAAACGGAAAGCAGCTCAAATGAATTTTGTACAGCCGTAAGGACTTTACAAAGCTGTCGATTTGTAAATACCAGATCAGAGAATCAAACAGTGGTCTTCCTGATGATGTACGGGGTCTCATCTCTAGTATTGTTTACGTCTAAGCTGAAAACCATTCTCTTTAGCTGTGCATATGACTGAGTTTTATATAATGAGATTGTATACAGTTGTGGCACAGATAGATTGTGCAAAAGACAGAGATGTGCAACATGTTAAAGGAGCAGTATGTAAACATGTGGCCAAAAGTGGTACTGCAGCCTCTCCCACTCTCCCTGACTCAGGTTGCCAGATATGCAGACGAATCCAGCTGGGACCATAACAGCTGAATAGACAAGAGTTTTGTCAACAACAAATCTACAACCAACACCTTTTTCACAAAGATAGAAATCCTGGTTTTATTCCTTGTTTTTTCGTTAATGATTTGAGAATCATAACGAGACCTTTTTTAGTTCTGCGCCACATGGGCGTCGGACTGGGGGGGTAAAGGGTACCGAGTACCCTGGGCCCAAGGCGGGGAGGGGCCCTCTAAAGTGTGTCTTTATATTTATATGTATTAGGCATTGTGCTATATTCATATTATTACAATTTGAATGAAAGGGGCCCTGTATAAAAATAACCAACGTTTTAACCTCAGTTTTCCTCTAAAAACAAATTTGTATGCTATATCAGGGCCCTGCCACCCCCTTACAAAAGATCAAATGGTACGACCCACATGTGCGCTTGTTGCTGTGTTGTAGTGATGTAAAGTTCGATTCATTTTACTGACTCGAGTTAAAGTGAATCACTCACCAAAGTGAATCGGGTGTTTTGAGTCATTTGATTCAGTGATTCAGTTGTTCAGAAAAAAACATACATGAACACAAAATGGCAATTTACAATCAAAACATTTATTAAACTTTGATAAATGGTAACAATAACAAATATGTAAACTAATTTGACAAAATATAAACTCTTTAAATTTAACAATTCAACAGTAAAATTGTGAACAAAGCAGCAACAACATTCCAAGCGAGGGGCTGTCACAATACAAGAAATACAATAACACGAACAGAGTTGACATTTTGCTCGTGATGGGCCTGTTATTTCAAAGTGCATCCAAATATCGCTTCTTCTGCGGCTACTATCCATTTTCTATAAAAATATTTAAAACTTTCCGCCAAAAATGTGGTGTTACATTAATGTATTCCGTGTTAAAACCTACATTCCTGGTAAAAAAAAAAAAAAAAGGTCATAACAATTATATTATATAAATAATAAATACAAACAACTTTGATATTTTTCACACATTCATTTTTTATTGATGACAATCATTGTAACGCCAATAATGTTCGAGGCGGAACTCCTGTTGTCCGACGAGAGAAACACAGCTGAACAAATAACTTAATAAATAGCCAATTATATTTTTCAATCTACCTCACATAATACATGTAGAGGGTTATTATTTTTTGTCAGATGGGGCAAAAGAAACTACTTTTTTCAACCCAGTTAGAGAACGAGAGTTACGAGACGAGTCGGTGTCCTGTCCTGTTGTTTCGACTCGCTTGATGCTGAGTGAGTGAGTCAGATCAGATGAACGATTCGTTCAGAGCTGAACGACTCGAAGGGGAGCGGGAAGGGGCTGATCCAGAACCACAGTGAGTCGTTCACTGCTCGTACGGCGCGGGCAGGCAGGAAGGAGGACGTTACGGTGAAGTAGATGGTTGTAAACAATAAGCTTTTGGTTTCTGTGCTCAAACGAGCTACAGTACACACACACACAGTCACACACGTAATATTAGAGTGTCATTCATTGTGGCTAGTAGAAAACGCAGTCTGGGGGTCGCAGTTTAGAAAGTGGTGGGCGGACGAGTTGGTGAACGAGTTAATGGAGGCGGGGAATCACGACTCCCGAGTCAGTAAAGTGAATCTCGAGTTTTGAACGATTCGTTCACAAATCGCACATCACTACTGTGTTGCTGCCGCTGCAGCGAGTTGACTTGTTTGACAAGCAGAAGCGGGAAAAATAGAAATGTCTTTTCCAAAGAAAGGACTTGGAGAAATTGGAGTTTTCTGGTGACATCTAGTGGTCAAAATAATGTAAATAAGTCTAATGGTCTAAAGCAGGGGTGCTCACACTTTTTCAGCATGCGAGCTACTTATAAAATGATCAAGTCAAAATGATCTACCTACTACAAAAATGCAAAACATATATTTATTTCTAAATATATTGAGGATTCTTTAAATCTACAATGTATGTTGATGTACATGCAAAACCGCATGATTTATGAAATCATTTACATTTAGGCACCGCCTCTGGCGGTCATCCAGGATTCATAGAGCCGCAGTTTTATTCGTAACTTTCGTTCTGTAGCGGCACTTACAGTCATAGTAGAAACTCTGGGTGAAGACGTGTTATTATAGATCCGGGTGAAGACATGTTTACAAGCATTGACCCCAGTCCTCAGCCCTGGTTTGATCCTGGTTTAGCTCCTGTTTTGGTTGTTTTCGAGCGTGCGTGATCACTCCACTGCAGCAGAGAACAGTTTTTAAGGCAGTATGATCCATGCTTCAGTGATCAGAGGTCGCACGTTTTGTTTGTTGTTGTTGTTTTGGGGGCATACTGTGGCGTGCAAAAACGCAAAACTCCGGTTATCTCTGTCCACACGCAAATGCATAAACGGATATTTTATTTATTTTTAATCTAATGCGATCTTCCAATACTACCTTTGCGATCGACTGGTAGATCGCGATCGACGTATTGAGCACCCCTGGTCTAAAGGTTTCTAGCTCTACAATTATCTTAGTGTGTAAACAAGGGTGAAATGAGACTTTCTGGTGTGTAAACTATTGCTTTTAAGCCAGAAATGACAACTGACAATCACAGCCCAGACCATGCCCAACTGTAAGCCCCCCTTCTTCTCCACTGGTGCCATTTTTACAGAACATTTTCAAATGTTCATGTGGGCGGAGTAAGGCTAGGCACAGGTGTTTAGTTGAAAATGGAATAGGCTTATTTCACGTTTCCAAACATTCAGTCACCTTTGGAGCTGCTCAATGCAATACACAAAATGCAGCTAGAAAGTATTTTTGGGGAAATTTGTATTGGCTTGAGAATCTTTTGTACACTTCCAGTGACTGTTGCAGGAGGGGAACGTTCTTTCAGTAAGCTTAAACTTGTAAAGAACTATTTAAGATCCACAATGTCCCAAGAGAGACTGAACAGCCTTGCAATACTCTCCATAGAAAGTCAGTTGGCCAAAAACCTGGACTTTAAAGACCTGATCAGAAACTTTGCAAATGCAAAGACCCGTCAGTGGGCTTTTGATAAACATTGACCATACATTTATCTTTGTACTACATTGATGGTTCTCAAACAGTGTAGTTCTAGTTTTTGTTAAATGTTTACCTTTTTTTGGGCTTGTCCCTGTTAATAAATAAAATGGACATGGTACTACTGTTATCAACCTGGTGAAGCCGTTGTTTGAAAATAAAGCAATGTTTATTGTATATACAGGCTACTCAATTAATTTTTTACATGAGGGTAATAAAAAATATTGTAAACAATATTGATGATAATAAAACCAAAGGACATGAATCAGAATTGTATTAACTAATTAAATTATTATATATATATATATATATATATAAGAAACGTGTAGTGGGGGCCCATTGAGACTGTTTGTACCCGGGGCCCAGAATTTGGTGCTACCCCCCTGTCTGCGCCACATGATACTTTACCAGTGAGATTAGCTCCACGCGGTGAGATCTGGCGCCCGGATCACAGACTTTCTGATTGGTGAAACGGTGGAGGGCGGGACATCAAAATGAAAACAATAACAAGATTTAGAGGCTGGAAAAATTATTTTGAAATTAAAATATCTCTGAACGTCTGTTATCAGTTAAAGAAGTATTGGAAAAGAGCAGTTTATTAATTCCTTTTGACAGATTAGGGCCCTTTAGATTACAAAAAAAGTCTGTGCAAGATATATTATGTACAATAAAAAAGTGGCAATGGACTTCCTGTCTATGCTATCCTATGGCTTTTATGGTTTTTTAGTAATTAGATCGATACATTCAGCTGAGACTGACCCAAAAGTGTCCCTGTGCTTTCTCTCTGAGGTAGATCTCTGACTGTGGCCACTCAGAGAGATGTGTAAACTTTATAAAAACACAATGACAGCACAATCAAAGAGCACTGCTGTGTCCCAAAAATGCCCCGTATCCTCACAGTTTAATTCCCGTTTGAGCATTATTTGGCAAACTTGTGTAAACCACCGCTGAACTCCAGTGAAACTCAAGCCGTTTCCCGCGAACAGGAAGTGAAGTGGGGTTGTAGCTAAAACCCGGAAGTGGCGCGTGCATAGAGCCTATAAGAAAAAAAATTATAAATAAACTTGATTGATCATCCCCACTGTCCTGAGACCCTCCATTCACTTCAGACTGTCTAAAAGTATTTATTCTTGGGTTTCGTATGACGTCAAGGAAGTGGTGTGAATAACAATCGTAGGACAGGACGTGACGTATCCTGGCGGTGCAGTCTGCTGAGTTTATACACGGAGATATAGTAGAAGAAGAAGTGGTTTATACACGGAGATATAGTAGAAGAAGAAGTGGTTTATACATGGAGATATAGTAGAAGAAGAAGTGGTTTATACACGGAGATATAGTAGAAGAAGAAGCGCTGTCAAGATGCCATCTTTTTGTGCGGTGTACGCTTGTGGCAACCGCACAAATAGAGAGAAAGACCAGAGTTTGTTCATGTTCCAACTGTGGTCTCATATAAAGGAGGACACTTTGAAAAAATCACTGGAATGAGGCGAGCGAGGTGGATCAAGGCTTTCCCAGATAAGCGCCCCCTGCAGGCCACCCCAATGAAACGCAGACATTTCTTCTGTTTTTCTTTCCAAAAATGCCCTCTTTTGAGAAATACTTTTTAGTACTGCCTTAGAATTGAGTGTCCCCGATTAAGACTGTTCCAACAACCGTACACCGCACAGGAGGAGAGCCTTTGACTCCAAAACACACTTTACATGGTTTTCAATGGGAGCAAAACTGTCCCACCTCTGCTCATGCGCCCCCTACTGGCCAGTTTAATGAAACCCAAGAATACAAGCTTCGGGAGAGAAAAATAGTTATATACTAAACTGTAACATGACATGACAAGGACAGTCTATTTCCTGTCCCGGTGTGGCCTCCTCTAATGAAGACACGGCACATTCATTAGTGGGTTCCTGTGTTGTCTGCTCAGGGACCGCTGCACCCTGGGGCAAAGCAATCTAGTTGACAGCTAAAAATACAGTTATTACATGGAATTGAGAGCAGTGACAGACAGAGCCAATCACACGCTCTCGTTAGCTTTTTATTTTTTATTAGCACAGACTGGTGGTAATTAGCACACGGCAGAAAAGCAATGGAAAATAAGATCACATCGAAGGCAGTGCTTGGATTTGTGTTTGTGTTTCATTCAATGTGTTTGTGTCTGGATCTAAATCACAGCAGTAGGTATCGAAGGAGGACTTTCCAAAGTTGTGGATTCATCAACAACAGATCAGAGAATCAAACAGTTCACAGGAAATAAGGGACAGATGACCGTTGATATCTCTGGTCTTTCTCTCTGGTCTCTCTCTTGTCTCTCTCTGGTCTCTCTGGTCCCTCTCTGGTCTCTCTGGTCTCTCTCTGGTCTCTCTCTGGTCTCTCTCTGGTCTCTCTCTGGTCTCTCTCTGGTCCTTCTCTCTGGTCTCTCTCTGGTCTCTCTCTCTGGTCTCTCTCCTGTCTCTCTCTGGTCTCTCTCTGGTCTCTCTAGTCTCTCTCTCTGGTCTCTCTCTGGTCTCTCTGGTCTCTCTCTGGTCCTTCTCTCTGGTCTCTCTCTCTGGTCTCTCTCCTGTCTCTCTCTGGTCTCTCTCCTGTCTCTCTCTGGTCTCTCTCTGGTCTCTCTAGTCTCTCTCTCTGGTCTCTCTCTAGTCTCTCTCTCTGGTCTCTCTCTGGTCTCTCTCTGGTCTCTCTGGTCTCTCTCTGGTCTCTCTCTGGTCTCTCTCTCTGGTCTCTCTCTGGTCTCTCTCTCTGGTCTCTCTCTCTGGTCTGTCTCTGGTCTCTCTCTGGTCTCTCTCTGGTCTCTCTCTGGTCTCTCTCTGGTCTCTCTCTGGTCTCTCTCTGGTCTCTCTCTGGTCTCTCTGGTCTCTCTCTGGTCTCTCTCTGGTCTCTCTCTGGTCTCTCTAGTCTCTCTCTGGTCTCTCTCTGGTCTATCTGGTCTCTCTCTGGTCTCTCTCTGGTCTCTCTGGTCTCTTTCTGGTCTCTCTCTGGTCTCTCTCTGGTCTCTCTGGTCTCTCTCTGGTCTCTCTCTCTGGTCTCTCTCTCTGGTCTCTCTCTGGTCTCTCTCTGGTCTCTCTCTGGTCTCTCCCTGGTCTCTCTCTGGTCTCTCTTTGGTCTCTCTCTCTGGTCTCTCTCTGGTCGCGCTCTGGTCTCTCTGGTCTCTCTCTGGTCGCGCTCTGGTCTCTCTGGTCTCTCTCTGGTCTCTCTCTGGTCTCTCTCTGGTCTCTCTCTGGTCTCTCTGGTCTCTCTCTTGTCTCTCTGGTCTCTCTCTGGTCTCTCTCTGGTCTCTCTCTGGTCTCTCTCTGGTCTCTCTGGTCCCTCTCTGGTCTCTCTGGTCTCTCTCTGGTCCCTCTCTGGTCTCTCTGGTCTCTCTCTGGTCTCTCTCTGGTCTCTCTCTGGTCTCTCTCTGGTCTCTCTCTGGTCTCTCTCTGGTCTCTCTGGTCCCTCTCTGGTCTCTCTCTGGTCCCTCTCTGGTCTCTCTCTGGTCCCTCTCTGGTCTCTCTCTGGTCTCTCTGGTCTCTCTGGTCTCTCTCTGGTCTCTCTCTGGTCTCTCTGGTCTCTCTCTGGTCTCTCTCTGGTCTCTCTGGTCTCTCTCTGGTCTCTCTGGTCTCTCTCTGGTCTCTCTGGTCTCTCTCTGGTCTCTCTCTGGTCTCTCTCTGGTCTATCTCTGGTCTCTCTCTGGTCTCTCTGGTCTCTCTCTGGTCTCTCTCTGGTCTCTCTGGTCTCTCTGGTCTCTCTCTGGTCTCTCTGGTCTCTCTCTGGTCTCTCTCTGGTCTCTCTCTGGTCTCTCTCTGGTCTCTCTCTGGTCTCTCTCTGGTCTCTCTCTGGTCTCTCTCTCTGGTCTCTCTCTCTGGTCTCTCTCTGGTCTCTCTCTGGCCTCTCTCTGGTCTCTCTCTGGTCTCTCTCTGGTCTCTCTCTGGTCTCTCTTTGGTCTCTCTCTCTGGTCTCTCTCTGGTCGCGCTCTGGTCTCTCTGGTCTCTCTCTGGTCGCGCTCTGGTCTCTCTGGTCTCTCTCTGGTCTCTCTCTGGTCTCTCTCTGGTCTCTCTCTGGTCTCTCTCTGGTCTCTCTGGTCTCTCTCTGGTCTCTCTGGTCTCTCTCTGGTCTCTCTCTGGTCTCTCTCTGGTCTCTCTCTGGTCTCTCTCTGGTCTCTCTGGTCTCTCTGGTCTCTCTCTGGTCTCTCTCTGGTCTCTCTCTGGTCTCTCTCTGGTCTCTCTCTGGTCTCTCTCTGGTCTCTCTCTGGTCTCTCTGGTCTCTCTCTGGTCTCTCTCTGGGTCCCTCTCTGGTCTCTCTGGTCTCTCTGGTCTCTCTGGTCTCTCTCTGGTCTCTCTCTGGTCTCTCTCTGGTCTCTCTGGTCTCTCTCTGGTCTCTCTCTGGTCTCTCTCTGGTCTCTCTGGTCTCTCTGGTCTCTCTGGTCTCTCTGGTCTCTCTGGTCTCTCTCTGGTCTCTCTCTGGTCTCTCTCTGGTCTCTCTGGTCTCTCTCTGGTCTCTCTCTGGTCTCTCTCTGGTCTCTCTGGTCTGTCTCTGGTCTCTCTCTGGTCTCTCTCTGGTCTCTCTCTGGTCTCTCTCTGGTCTCTCTGGTCTCTCTCTGGTCTCTCTCTGGTCTCTCTCTGGTCTCTCTCTGGTCTCTCTCTGGTCTCTCTCTGGTCTCTCTGGTCTCTCTGGTCTCTCTGGTCTCTCTGGTCTCTCTCTGGTCTCTCTCTGGTCTCTCTCTGGTCTCTCTGGTCTCTCTCTGGTCTCTCTGGTCTCTCTCTGGTCTCTCTGGTCTCTCTCTGGTCTCTCTCTGGTCTCTCTGGTCTCTCTGGTCTCTCTCTGGTCTCTCTCTGGTCTCTCTGGTCTCTCTCTGGTCTCTCTCTGGTCTCTCTCTGGTCTCTCTCTGGTCTCTCTCTGGTCTCTCTCTGGTCTCTCTCTGGTCTCTCTCTGGTCCACTGTCTCATAATACTCAGTGTTAAACACATCATTTTACCCTCTCTGCTGTATTTCCCCGGTGCTCACAAACCGATCCATCACCGCGGCCTTCACTGTGGTCTCCGCTAACGCCGCGCCGCGCACTTAGCATCGGCGCCTGCATGTCTTCACGTTGATTAATTGCGACTTGTTGTTGCCGTGAAGCAGTGGAATTATTTCAGTAACCATTTAATGTGCCCTCCTACAAGAAAGTAATGTCATTTTAATTTTGTATTTTCCAAGATGTAGGAGCAGTAATCGCAGAAATAATGTGTTTTAATGGGGTTTTTTTAACCTTTGTTTATTTCTTTATTTTTCTTACAAGCCTTTACCAAATGGTTGAGATGCAGTTTTATGGTAAAAGTGCCTTAAACCCAGAGAGATGTCCCAAAGAGGTAGATTTCAGTTGATATAGACTCTAACCCGAACCATTATTGGGTTAAAGAGCTAACTCTTATGTGTATGTATATGAACGTGTATATGTATAGATAGTCACAACAGCAGAGGTGGAGTAGTCTCTGGGTGGAGCAGGACGCGTCACAGCAGCAGAGGTGGAGTAGCCTCTGGGTGGAGCAGGACGGGTCACAGCAGCAGAGGTGGAGTAGCCTCTGGGTGGAGCAGGACGGGTCACAGCAGCAGAGGTGGAGTAGCCTCTGGGTGGAGCAGGACGGGTCACAGCAGCAGAGGTGGAGTAGCCTCTGGGTGGAGCAGGACGGGTCACAGCAGCAGAGGTGGAGTAGCCTCTGGGTGGAGCAGGACAGGTCACAGCAGCAGAGGTGGAGTAGCCTCTGGGTGGAGCAGGACAGGTCACAGCAGCAGAGGTGGAGTAGCCTCTGGGTGGAGCAGGACAGGTCACAGCAGCAGAGGTGGAGTAGCCTCTGGGTGGAGCAGGACGGGTCACAGCAGCAGAGGTGGAGTAGCCTCTGGGTGGAGCAGGACGGGTCACAGCAGCAGAGGTGGAGTAGCCTCTGGGTGGAGCAGGACAGGTCACAGCAGCAGAGGTGGAGTAGCCTCTGGGTGGAGCAGGACAGGTCACAGCAGCAGAGGTGGAGTAGCCTCTGGGTGGAGCAGGACGGGTCACAGCAGCAGAGGTGGAGTAGCCTCTGGGTGGAGCAGGACGGGTCACAGCAGCAGAGGTGGAGTAGCCTCTGGGTGGAGCAGGACAGGTCACAGCAGCAGAGGTGGAGTAGCCTCTGGGTGGAGCAGGACGGGTCACAGCAGCAGAGGTGGAGTAGCCTCTGGGTGGAGCAGGACAGGTCACAGCAGCAGAGGTGGAGTAGTCTCTGGGTGGAGCAGGACAGGTCACAGCAGCAGAGGTGGAGTAGTCTCTGGGTGGAGCAGGACGCGTCACAGCAGCAGAGGTGGAGTAGCCTCTGGGTGGAGCAGGACGGGTCACAGCAGCAGAGGTGGAGTAGCCTCTGGGTGGAGCAGGACGGGTCACAGCAGCAGAGGTGGAGTAGTCTCTGGGTGGAGCAGGACGGGTCACAGCAGCAGAGGTGGAGTAGCCTCTGGGTGGAGCAGGACGGGTCACAGCAGCAGAGGTGGAGTAGCCTCTGGGTGGAGCAGGACGGGTCACAGCAGCAGAGGTGGAGTAGCCTCTGGGTGGAGCAGGACAGGTCACAGCAGCAGAGGTGGAGTAGCCTCTGGGTGGAGCAGGACAGGTCACAGCAGCAGAGGTGGAGTAGCCTCTGGGTGGAGCAGGACAGGTCACAGCAGCAGAGGTGGAGTAGCCTCTGGGTGGAGCAGGACGGGTCACAGCAGCAGAGGTGGAGTAGCCTCTGGGTGGAGCAGGACGGGTCACAGCAGCAGAGGTGGAGTAGCCTCTGGGTGGAGCAGGACAGGTCACAGCAGCAGAGGTGGAGTAGCCTCTGGGTGGAGCAGGACAGGTCACAGCAGCAGAGGTGGAGTAGCCTCTGGGTGGAGCAGGACGGGTCACAGCAGCAGAGGTGGAGTAGCCTCTGGGTGGAGCAGGACGGGTCACAGCAGCAGAGGTGGAGTAGCCTCTGGGTGGAGCAGGACAGGTCACAGCAGCAGAGGTGGAGTAGCCTCTGGGTGGAGCAGGACGGGTCACAGCAGCAGAGGTGGAGTAGCCTCTGGGTGGAGCAGGACAGGTCACAGCAGCAGAGGTGGAGTAGCCTCTGGGTGGAGCAGGACAGGTCACAGCAGCAGAGGTGGAGTAGCCTCTGGGTGGAGCAGGACGGGTCACAGCAGCAGAGGTGGAGTAGCCTCTGGGTGGAGCAGGACAGGTCACAGCAGCAGAGGTGGAGTAGCCTCTGGGTGGAGCAGGACAGGTCACAGCAGCAGAGGTGGAGTAGCCTCTGGGTGGAGCAGGACGGGTCACAGCAGCAGAGGTGGAGTAGCCTCTGGGTGGAGCAGGACAGGTCACAGCAGCAGAGGTGGAGTAGCCTCTGGGTGGAGCAGGACAGGTCACAGCAGCAGAGGTGGAGTAGCCTCTGGGTGGAGCAGGACAGGTCACAAGGTTGAGTACTTGGTTCAGACCATTTTCTCTGCTCTGGTCCAAAGTAAAATGCTGAATGCTTCATTAGGATTTTTCAAAAAGTTATCCTTCCTCCAGTGGATTTTCACCTGGTCTACTTGGTTTGGACCATGAATCCTCTCTGCTCTGGTCTGGACCAGTGCAAAACCATGAACACTGTACTGCAGCATCATCTCAGGTAGAAAAAAGCAATAAAAATAAAAATTGATTAAGCACAAAACAACAACTGTATATGTATATATGTACTGTATGTATGTGTATATGTATGTATGTGTATATGTATGTATGTGTATATGTATGTATGTGTATATGTATGTATGTGTATATTTATGTATGTATGTGTGTGTATACGTATATATGTATGTATCGTATTCTATTGTGCAGGGGTTTTGATAAACAGTTCTGTAAATATTTATGACAAAAATGTGTGTCAAAACACAAATACAACATTTTTAAAAGCAAAGCAAGGAGCTAAGTCCTGTTCCGTTCGCTGGAAGTGCACACGGCTGAGACGGCGAGAGCTGATCCAGGGCCGAGGTCGAGGATTGGATCTGGAGTCGATAGCAGGATGAAGTACTGGGGCTTACACAGAGCGGACTGAACTGTGAAATGTATTGATGGCTTTATGCTAATGAAGCCGTGGGAACCCTGGCCTGTGATTGGTGGACTGCTGACACGCGGCTTCTGATTAGTGCAAGTGCTGCTTTTGCGGTAAACAGGAAGAAGAAGTGATGGAGAAAGTACTGCTATAACGGCTACTACTGCTACTACTACTTTTATTATAACTACAGCTAGTACTACAACCACTACTACTACTACTACTACTATAACTACAGCTAGTACTAGTACAACTACTACTACAGCTAGTGTTGCTACTACTAGGTCTCATAATATGATTCTACTATTGTTTGATTCTCTGATCTGTTGTTGAGAAATTTATAAAGTCCTCTGAGACAATAACTCTTGTGATTTAGGGCGAGACAAAATACATTGAATCGAATATACTGCAGTGGCATGTATTTGGTGTCAAAGTAAATACTCTCAAGATCATGCTGAGGCTTTAGCTTCCTATCTGGTTGATGGTTCGGATTACCCTGCTCTGGTTCAGAGTTAAATTCTGAATGCTTTATTAGCATTTGAGGAATAAAAATAGACCATGTGACTTGTATGTTGTTTTCTGACCTCTGTTCTAACGTGTGTATTGTGTGTTCTTGTGTTTGCAGGAGTCTTCATACTCATTTGCACTGAAATGCCTTATCAGCCTATCCACTGTTATACTGCTTGGTCTTATAATAATGTACCACGCCCGGGAGATACAGGTGAGCGCCTAGATTCACTCATTCACCTTTTCCAATTGAATTCCAGAGTGTGCATGAAGTGACTGTGGTAAAACTAGAAGCTTTGAATCACATGTTGTATATCTTTATGAGTTACTGAGTAGTTCTGACCTTATGGCCCTTTAACGTATTATGACATCCATGTTTTTATAATTTTTTGCGTGTCCTGCTTTAGCTAGAGGGAAATACTGTAAGTACATATACACCAACACCTACGCCAACACTAACACTTACACAAACACAAACAACTACACCAACAACTACACCAACACAAACAACTACGCCAACACAAACAACTACACTAACACTTACACAAACACAAACAACTACACCAACACCTACACCAACACTTACACTAACACTTACACAAACACAAACAACTACACTAACACTTACACCAACAACTACACCAACACAAACACTTACACCAACACCTACACCAACACCTACACCAACACTAACACTTACACAAACACAAACAACTACACTAACACTTACACCAACAACTACACCAACACAAACAACTACACTAACACTTACACTTACACCAACACAAACAACTACACCAACACAAACAACTACACCAACACTTACACCAACACAAACAACTACACCAACACAAACAACTACACCAACACTTACACCAACACAAACAACTACACAAACAACTACACAAACACAAACAACTACACCAACACTTACACCAACACAAACAACTACACCAACACAAACAACTACACCAACACTTACACCAACACAAACAACTACACCAACACAAACAACTACACCAACACTTACACCAACACAAACAACTACACAAACAACTACACAAACACAAACAACTACACCAACACTTACACCAACACAAACAACTACACCAACACAAACAACTACAACTACACAAACACAAACAACTACACCAACACAAACACAAACAACTACACCAACACTTACACCAACACAAACAACTACACCAACACAAACAACTACAACTACACAAACACAAACAACTACACAAACACAAACAACTACACCAACACTTACACCAACACAAACACCTACACCAACACTTACACCAACACAAACAACTACACCAACACAAACAACTACACTAACACTTACACCAACACAAACAACTACACCAACACTTACACCAACACAAACAACTACACCAACACTTACACAAACAACTACACCAACACAAACAACTACAACTACACAAACAACTACACAAACACAAACAACTACACCAACACTTACACCAACACAAACACCTACACCAACACTTACACCAACACAAACAACTACACCAACACAAACAACTACACCAACACTTACACCAACACAAACAACTACACCAACACAAACAACTACACTAACACTTACACCAACACAAACAACTACACCAACACTTACACCAACACAAACAACTACACAAACAACTACACCAACACAAACAACTACAACTACACAAACACAAACAACTACACCAACACTTACACCAACACAAACAACTACACCAACACAAACAACTACACCAACACTTACACCAACACAAACAACTACACCAACACAAACAACTACACCAACACTTACACAAACACAAACAACTACACCAACACAAACAACTACACCAACACTTACACCAACACAAACAACTACACCAACACTTACACCAACAGAAAACAACTACACCAACACTTACACAAACACAAACAACTACACCAACACAAACAACTACACAAACACAAACAACTACACAAACACAAACAACTACACCAACACAAACAACTACACTAACACAAACGACTACACCTACACTTACACCAGCACTTACACCAACAACACATCTCAATATTGACGGAGTGTGTGTATTTGTATTTGTATTTGTGGTTCTATATTTTTCTAAAAACATGAATCTAAAAACAAAACACAAAAACACTACTCCCCTTTCTGAGTGAGCTGACAGCTAACCCCAATCTAACGGCTAACTCCAAGCTAACGGCAAACCCCAGCTAACGGCTAACCCCAATCTAACGGCTAACTCCAAGCTAACGGCAAACCCCAGCTAACGGCTAACCCCAATCTAACGGCTAACTCCAAGCTAACGGCAAACCCCAGCTAACGGCTAAGCCCAAGCTAACGGCTAACTCCAAGCTAACGGCAAACCCCAGCTAACGGCTAACCCCAATCTAACGGCTAACTCCAAGCTAACGGCAAACCCCAGCTAACGGCTAACCCCAAGCTAACGGCTAACTCCAAGCTAACGGCAAACCCCAGCTAACGGCTAACTCCAAGCTAACGGCAAACCCCAGCTAACAGCTAACCCCAGCTAAGGCAAACCCCAGCTAATAGCTAACCCCAGCAAACGGCAAACCCCAGCTAACGACAAATCCAGCTAACAGCTAACCCCAGCTAATGGCTAACCCCAGCTCTAGCTAACCCCTCTCTCTTCCTGTGTTTCTTTAGCTCTTCATGGTGGACAACGGCGCGGACGACTGGAGGATAGCCATGACGTACGAGCGGATCTTCTTCATCGTGCTGGAGCTGCTGGTGTGCGCCATCCACCCCATCCCAGGACAGTACGTGTTCACCTGGACCGCGCGCCTGGCCTTCACCTACACGCCGTCCGTGGCCGACGCCGACGTGGACATCATCCTCTCCATCCCCATGTTCTTCAGACTCTACCTGATCGGCCGCGTCATGCTCCTGCACAGCAAACTCTTCACCGACGCCTCCTCGCGCAGCATCGGCGCCCTCAACAAGATCAACTTCAACACCCGCTTCGTCATGAAGACCCTGATGACCATCTGCCCCGGCACGGTCCTCCTGGTCTTCAGCATCTCCTCCTGGATCATAGCCGCCTGGACCGTGCGCGTCTGCGAGAGGTAATGGGGAAACGCAGAGGAAGGAACAGGAAAAGACGGGGCAATGTCGAGCGGAAAGAGGCGAGACACGGAACCGGTTTCAAAAGGAGTCATCTGGACCGAGTTTTATGATTAGAGACGGTTTAAGTCCCATCCAGAAGTCAGTTCAAGCTGTGGTGAGCTTTGGTCCTGTCCTGCAAGTAGGAGTCAGTGCCTAAAGCTGGGGTATTTTACTAGTAAGTTTTGGTGATCAGTGCAAAAGATGAAAATATAGACTAGTGTAGTTCACTTCAGTGTATTTATCTAATCCAACCGTTTTTTTGGACTCTTTTATTCATGCCAGCTGAAGATAATATTACTTGTCAAAATCATGATCCACTGGCAGATCATTTAGCTTGAAACAAGAACATTTGCTCTAACAGTAGCCACTTTATGCAGTGTGTCCTAGAAGAAGGTAATTAACCCTCATTTACAAATATATAACATCAAGTACAAAAAAATCTGACATTTTGGTTGAATGCATTGACTAATTTATGTACCAAAAATCCCAAAAAAGGTGTTAGTGCCTATAGCTGGGCTTTTTAACTTACTTGTCCATTTACCAAATGGAGAATCGTGAATCGTAGGAAAGTTTAGCTTTAAATATATCTAGTCACTTAAAATAGACAGAAGCAAACGATTGGACCAGAATGACACATAAGGAGTGTCTGTTGTAAAACTTTAGTCCTATTCAAGGTACCAGGTAAAAAAATCCAAAATCTCCCTTCATCTGGACAAGACCAGGACTCACCAGAGCCTAAAGTCCAAGTCCAGGTCCAGGTCTCCTCAGATCAGAACAAAACATCTGGATGGGCATCCAAAACTTAGTCCGGATGAGCGCTTCTGAAACCCGGTCTGAGAAGGTTCGGTCCTGGACGAATGCGGACGTTCACCCAAGGTCCCATTAGATCCGTTAGGTCTTCATGTTTTACGACTTTGCAGGTCCTTCTGGTCAGACCGGTGCTTGTGTCTCGAGCCTTGATAGTTTCAGGTGCTGCTGTCGCCTCCATCAAAAGTTTACTGAAAATTTGCGACAAAATCGAATTGTTTATTCTCAGAGATCTTGAAATGTGAAGTTCCAAAGTGAGTTCCTAGTTTGGGGACTGCAGGACAAAGAGCCTTGTTGTCGTTTGGTCTGAGGTGATAATCGTAGGTGCCTTGTTAGCTTGTTGGGTTACTTTTAAGACGCATTTCTACATGGATTTTTCAAGAGGACGTGGTTCACTTCACAAGTAACATGGCTTTTCCAGGGGCCGAAAGAGTCATGGTCAATCTAAGCGCTCGATTTATGAGTCTGGATTTATGAAGAACCTCCAGAACAGGCAGCTCACGGCGCACAGTCCTCTTTGGGCGAGCGGAGAACCTTTGTTAGAGCTCTCTTTTCTTCAGTTAAAGGGAAACAGATTTGGTCCAGTTGACTAAAAACATGGTCATCCTCTCCTTTCGAAACTTAGCCGAATGAAGTCTTATGCTTGTTTTCCGATTTAAAAGAAAAGTTTAATGAGGACCATGTATGAAAATCCAAGCAAAACTACAGTTAACTGGCCCTAGTCAAAAAGCAGGTCCACCACCAGCACAGTTTTATTCTAATCCACAAACTTGACACATTACAGAAGCTCAGTTCAACCTGCAGTCCTTCTTCCAAATGGCAAAATAACATTAGATTTACACCTGGTTTAGGCCATTATTTTATTGGGTTTTGTATTGGCTTCTGTAGGGTTAGTCCTCCTTCAATCCTATTGCAGGTTTGACACAGCAAGAAGACGTCTGAAATTCTGAGACTATGACCCAACAAAAAAATCCAGAGAAAGGTGGATGTATTACAGCACCACGGACAACTTGATCCAATCCCAAAGTCTTTAATCAATCATGTATTTATTTGATATCCAATTTAATAGTTTTAACGGTAGTGGGTAAAACCGAAAGGACGAGATTGCGGTTAGATGTGATTGGACGCTCCATTAGAGATAGGATGAGGAGCTCGGAGTAGAGCCGCTGCTTCTCCACGTCGATAGGAGCCAAAGCAAGAAGCCTTCTTAAATTATTATTGTTATTGAATCAGTCGTGTAGAAGAGAGCAGTTATTCAGCCCACAGACTATGGCCCTATGAATGATCGAGCCCTACACAAAGGGTTAAAAGTTGAATTAAGATTGGAGATATTTGATTTGTTCCATAGTGGGGAAATTCCAGTGTTGCATCGCCAGTTGCAGGACAGTAGGAATGAGGAGCACACAGTAGTCTCCAAATATCCAGCCCTAAAGAAAATGTGAATAGTTGATCCACTAATTTGACCCAATCCCAATTTCTTTGATTCATTTTGTATTTATTTGAGATTAAAATTAATCGTTTTAATCGTAATGGAGGCGACAGAGCAACCGAATCTGCAAGGCACGACACCAAACCACCGGTCTGACCATAAGAACCTTTTCTGTTTTACAAAAAAAAAAAAAAAAACAAGATGGCCGACGCATATTGCCGCGGATCAGGCGGCGGCGCGTACATTCCCACTCCACTTGTCTGTCTGTTGTTGTGTCTCACGCCGCTACGTGTTAGCTTGCTGTCACCCGCACTTGGCAAGTGTGTGCTAGCGCTGTAAGGAGAGGTTGCCATGGATACGGACAGGCATGCAAACACCGCTTTAGGCCCACGAGCTCACATACACACCACGGGAGGATGTGGAGATGGACAGAGGAGAGATGGGGAGATGAGAATTCACTTTTTTATAGGAGAAACGTGGCATTTCTTTCACTTCTACTATTGTCATTATTGAATCAGGCGTGTATAAGAGAGAAACGATTCAGCCCACAGACCATGGCCCTAGAAATAATCCAGCCCTAGATACAATTTGAAAAGTTGAATTAAGATTTTCTTTGTCCCACAGTGGTGAATTTTTGTGTTGCATCACCAGTTAGAGAACAGTAGGAATAAGGAGCCCACCGCACAAGATAAATGAACAATAAGTCTATACTAAAATAAATTAAAGTCGTTAGCATAATAAAGAAGCAAGTATACAATCTCTAACTTTAGCATAATAAAGAAGCAAGGGTTCAAAAATAAACAAAACTTAAATTTCAGAATCAGAAATTTTTTTAGCCATTGTGAGTAACAGGGAGACTCACACTAGGAACATTAAAGGATCAAGATATGTTTTGGCCAAAATTAGCTTAACCCCGGTACGTGCGCGAAGCATTCCCCCGGAGCCACCGACCAGCCCCTGCGTGTTATTACTTTTATGACGACCACGTTTTACCGCCGCGATATTGAAGTGTATTCTGAGCCAAACGGCCCAAAGGTCGCGCTCTGTGCTAATGTCCCCGTGTAGTTTTTAACGGCGCTTTTAGTGACGCAGGCCTGAAAAGTGAAACATGGAGCCTTCACGTTTAACTGCTGGAGCATCGCCTCGTTTTAAGGTTAAACCAACATTAATGGGTCATAAAGCGAATTCAGCTGCAGCAATGACAGCGACGACAGCGGCTCGTGGAGATATGAGGGGGTTTCTCTCTCACGGTTAGCATCGCAAGTGTCAACAAACGTAAATTAGCAAGAAAAAGTTGAAAAAAAGATCCAATCCCAATTTCTTTGATTGATTATGTATTTATAATCAAGGCAACAGCGGCTCGGTGGGTTTGACCTTCTCCATCGACTCCCACTGGTGTCTCCTGCCGTTGTGTCCTTGGGCAAGACACTTAACCCGACTTTACCTGAAGCCCCCACCCGCAAGAGGATCAGTGAGGGGCTGGTGCTCTGTGTACTGGGTGGCAGCCGACCCAGAAATGGATTAAGGGGAAGAAATATCTGTGTTGCAGCGCACGTACAGGACAGTAGTAGGAGCACACAACATATACAATATAAGTAGCTGCTATGCTAGCTGTAAATGCTTCTTTATAGCAGTAAGTAAATACCAATATATCTATCTATATCAGTGTTGCCAACTCATCAGTAAGGAAAGTAGCTATTGGCTGTCCCAAAAGTCGCTAGAAGTCGCTAAATGACGTCATCGCCTAATTTGCATAATTGGCAATTTGCAAATAACTGTAACGGACGCTGTAGGAGAGAGGAATAACGTCGTGGGAGAGACAAAAGTGAGTAAAAACACCCTAAATATGTTTAGAACTACAAATGTACAAAAATAATTTCAACATTAACAACATTTAATGATTTTAATGCTTTGTCTAGATCTGTCGCTAGTCGCTTTTTTGAAAAAAAGTCGCTATAGGGTCTGAAAAGTCGCTAAGTTGGCAACACTGATCTATATATATGTGTGTATATATAGTGTAAATTATATACATACAAGGCAGGATAATAAGTAGATAAAGAGACATTTAGTGGACATTCTGAAATTAAAGCACTATTTACAGCTGTGGTACAGTGTGACAGCAGCAGGAAGGAAAGACCTGCAGAACCTCTCCATAAATAACACAGCGGGGGGTGGATAAGTCTGTCACTGAAGCTGCTCTCCATCTCCACTCAGTCACTGCACCGACTCCCCGCCTCACACGGCGTCCTCACGAGCCCTCTCCGCCGGGTTCTCGCTCCTCTCTCCACCAGCGGCTGCTCCATAATTCATCAGCTCCTAATTGTCTGTTTGCTGAATGGTTTGTTTTGGTAAATACGCAGCCGCCACCTCCCGGGACCACCCCCCCACCTCCTCCCGTACGCCGATCTCACGAGGGGGGAACGCCACGATTCTCGCTCAAATCATCCAAATGACTTACATGCCTTCTCTCGCTCAGCAATTTGCATAGGAAAATTAGTTAGCTTTGATGTTAGCGGGCAGGGAATGAGCATACTGGAAGGAGAAGGGAGTAGCCTATGTTAAATTCAAATGTGCTGCTGCTAATGCTAAGTGGCTAATGCTAATCATGATTGCAAACACGCCTGATTCTTTTTGCCTGCCGTTTGACTTCCCTGTGCTCCCACGATTCCTGGCAACCATCACTGACCCCGCCCCTTCTTGCACGATTGACCCGCCCCCTGCCCTAACCTAGCCAATCAAAACACACCACATCGGGGTCACCTCTAAAATATAATAGGAAGTTTGTGTTTGTCACTTTGTCACATGGAACAAGACACAGCGGCGGTGACAGCTTCATACAATAACGTCCGGCTAGTTCTCACTCTCAGCTTTGCAATTTCGTGTTTTATCCCGTTGTGTTCCTCAGGGTTTTCCGCAAAAGTCGAATCTACCAATATTTTAAAGACTTGTTTTTTGCATACAGAGTTGGTCAAAAAGATTGCCACTTTTGAGATAATTTCTATTCTCTGGCCTAATAATTTAAAATATTATACAAAGACGTATTAAGCTTGGTGTTCACTGCACAGCTTTAGAATTAAGGTGCCGTACTTCCTGGACTATAAGGCGCACCTGTATATAAGCCTCACCACCTACATTTTCAGAAAATCAATGTTGTCCACATACAGGCCGCACTTGAATATAAGCCGCAGCTTTTCATGTTGGGCGACAGTTGGTAGAGCAGTGGTCTTTGGGCCTGAAGGTCCAAAGACCACTTCATGACTCCCACTGATGTCTGGTGTCGTTGTGTCCTTCGGCAAGACACTTAACCCCACTTTGCCTGAAGGCCCTCCTGAATAATCAAGGCTCCTGTGGACTCAGCACCTGCAGGAGGATCAGTGAGGGGCTGGTGCTCTGTGGACTGGGTGCAGCTGTGACTGACACCCCCCAGACCCAGAAATGGATTAAGGGGAAGAAAATGGATGGTTTTAATGTTGTGATGGAGCCGAGACTGTTTTAACTGGACACTACATGATTTAATGACAAGGTGTTAACCGTTAGCCTCAATACACCATCTCATCAAAGGACCAGAACGAGCCAAATGTTTATATTGAACCAAGCTAGTCATGTGATCATTTGGGGGTGGCCATCTTTGAGCTTTAGCCAATGAGCATGGGGCATTAACCTGAACAGACCTTCATCTTGGCACATAAGGCCGGTTGTTATTTTGGCTTCTGACTCTTAAAGCTGAGAGTCAGGGCTTTTATTTAATTTTACATCATCTTGGAAACCTGGCGCTCGGTCCCACTGTGAAATCAAACAGTTTGAAAAGCGTCTTGAATTGATTACCAGTTTAAAGTTATTTAGAAGTATTTTAGAAATGGTTTCTCTTGTTCACGCGACAAGCTATCTCTCCCACTGCAAAAAGTGATGAAGTCAAAAATTGCTCAAAGTTGGCTCCTGTGGAATGAGAAAATAATACAGTTCTTGAAATGAGACTAAATGTCTTTGTCCCATTGGCAAATCTTGTTTTAACACAGTCAGAATGTGTCAGATTACAGTAAAAAACCACTCAATTCAAGCATTTATTACCTCATATTTTAGCAGTACGTTACAACCACAATTGTTCAGTGGACACCGAGCTTCATACCGCTTCTGACTTACGATAAATGCTACAATCAGGATGCTAGCTTATCGCTTCATCTTTAAACATTGATCGATTCGAAACGTGACGGATTCCCCGAAGAAAACCACCGGGAAACCAAACTCATATTTTTGCATCAAACTTGTAAACTAGCTTGACGCTATTGACACGATTGCTGAAGTAAGACATTTCTCATTCTAGGCCCTTACACAAGTGCGCAGTTTCCATTTCCCAGCGCACACACACACACATTACCAAAAGTACAGATGCTGCTGAGAAATGGCATGTGTAAAGACCTTTAGTTTGCGCTTTGTCATACGTAAACAAGTCAAAACGCTGAGAGAATGCTACGAAACTCACGGCACACTATCCATGCGCATGCTCCAGACTTGTTGGGACTCAAAAGTGTGTGTGTGTGTGTGTGTGTGTGTGTGTGTGTGCGTGTTTGTATAATGTTTTGTTGTACTTTCTATCTCCCCCCACTACGCTGCTCCATAGGGATACCATGTGAGTCCTCGTTCTGTAGCCGTGGACAGCCTTTTTACCTTTTTTTACTCAATGATCCCAAATATTCCCCTAAAGATCCAAGTCTCATTCTGTTTTTGCACCGAGCTGGCGCCACTACTACTTCAATCCACGAGCATCTGGATATCACTTTTTTTTTTTTTATAGGATGGCATGATATGATAAGTGGCAACCGTGTGGATTCTGGGACCATGCAAAAGGCTGGGACTTCGAAAATCTCGGCATTTCGTTCATAGGATGGAGAAATGTGAAGTTTTTATTTGTTTTTTCTTTCTTTGAATCACAACCGGATTAGGATGATTAATTTGGTTAAAGTTAGGTTTGGGTAGAGTAGAGTATCTGGCATTAGGCTATTTGCAGATAATGTAGCGGTGAGATGCTAGCATTGCCTAGATTTTTGTGTATGAGGCGTAGCTAATTGCTGAGTAGTTTTGTGCTGTATTATTATGAGAATCGAATTAGTTAATTTTCTCGCCTTTAGTTAAATTTCTCCAAAATATCCATGCTTAAATCAACTAGAATTACGGTAATTGTTGTGAATGCGGGGATATTTTACACGAAGACTTAATTGCATACAGTATATGGCCTAGTTGGAAGACTTTTCTGACTGGTCAGGAGTATTATTGTGCTTGGAGGAAATAAGACATTACTGTACATTTGTGATGAGGTAAGTTATTCAGGTCATATTGGAAAAAAATGTGTAGAAAAATAGAAAATAGTAAATTTGATCTAGGTTCATCAAATGCAACTAAACAAGTGACAAACTGAGGTAGAGGAGCTAGCACTTTTTTGCGTCGTCTCTCTGGATAAAAGCTTTTTTCCTCTTAGAATGGACATGGTTAAGTGTTGTGGTTCTTCTGGCACCCCCTCTGCTGTTTCTGGTTAGCTCCTCTTTGTTAGCATTGTTAATATTGTTCCTCGTCGGCCTCAGTCTCTCTGGATGTCGGAGGGTCAAACTTTGAGCCTCAGATAAACCCACATCGGTCAATCTCTGAACAGGACATCAATACCTACTGCGTCGCATAAGAACTTGATGTCACTTGTGCGTGTAGTGGGTCATGATTTCCCATTGAGATGAAGGATCTGAAAAGGCATTTCCGACAGCACAGTGACAATACATTTTTGGTAACGCTATATTGTGCTCTTACTGTATTTAATAACAATGCCTTGGTTTTATACAGCGCTTTTTTGCCATTATTCATTTAATACATACAGTGGTGATAAACTACTACTGAAGCCACAGCTGCCCTGCGGCACACCGACAGAAGCGAGCCAGTCTGTGCCCTTGGCCCTTCCTATCACCACCAACCATTCACACACACACACACCAGACTCATTTTAATGTGGGTGAAGTTTCTTGCATAAGGACATAACCACAGTTTGAACTTTACAGCCTCAGCCGCCCCACTATGGCACCTGCTGTTCCCAGAGGTCTCCCATCACAGTACTAACCAAGCCCTGCCCTGCTTAGCTTTAGAGGTCTGTCGGGGTCTGGCTTTCACTTGTAGGTATGGCCATAATATTTGTATGGTCGCATTCTTACAGGATTGACTGGGGATTGAATGCTTGGTTACAGTGGTTGCTCTTCACCAATTAGATCCTACACTGATAGATGCCACACTGATACTGTAGATGCCACACTGATACTGTAGATGCCATACTGATACTGTAGATGCCATACTGATACTGTAGATGCCACACTGATACTGTAGATGCCACACTGATACTGTAGATGCCATACTGATACTGTAGATGCCACACTGATACTGTAGATGCCACACTGATACTGTAGATGCCACACTGATACTGTAGATGCCATACTGATACTGTAGATGCCACACTGATACTGTAGATGCCACACTGATACTGTAGATGCCACACTGATACTGTAGATGCCATACTGATACTGTAGATGCCATACTGATACTGTAGATGCCATACTGATACTGTAGATGCCACACTGATACTGTAGATGCCATACTGATACTGTAGATGCCATACTGATACTGTAGATGCCATACTGATACTGTAGATGCCATACTGATACTGTAGATGCCACACTGATACTGTAGATGCCATACTGATACTGTAGATGCCATACTGATACTGTAGATGCCACACTGATACTGTAGATGCCACACTGATACTGTAGATGCCATACTGATACTGTAGATGCCATACTGATACTGTAGATGCCACACTGATACTGTAGATGCCACACTGATACTGTAGATGCCACACTGATACTGTAGATGCCATACTGATACTGTAGATGCCATACTGATACTGTAGATGCCACACTGATACTGTAGATGCCACACTGATACTGTAGATGCCACACTGATACTGTAGATGCCATACTGATACTGTAGATGCCATACTGATACTGTAGATGCCATACTGATACTGTAGATGCCACACTGATACTGTAGATGCCATACTGATACTGTAGATGCCATACTGATACTGTAGATGCCATACTGATACTGTAGATGCCATACTGATACTGTAGATGCCACACTGATACTGTAGATGCCATACTGATACTGTAGATGCCATACTGATACTGTAGATGCCACACTGATACTGTAGATGCCACACTGATACTGTAGATGCCATACTGATACTGTAGATGCCATACTGATACTGTAGATGCCATACTGATACTGTAGATGCCACACTGATACTGTAGATGCCACACTGATACTGTAGATGCCATACTGATACTGTAGATGCCACACTGATACTGTAGATGCCACGGTGATAGAAGAAGGCAAGGCAAGGCAAATTTATTTGTATAGCACAATTCATACACAAGGCAACTCAAAGTGCTGAACAAAACAAGCATTAAAATCATAAATAATCACAGAACATTAAAAAGAAAGATAAAAATATAAAATCCCTCAGTTGTATGCACAGCTAAACAGAACTGTTTTCAACCTGGTTTTAAACATTGTCAGAGAGGAGGCCTGTCTCACATCTTCAGGAAGACTGTTCCAGATTTTAGCAGCATGAATCTGAAAAGCAGCCTCCCCATGTTTAGTCCTGACTCAGGGCACTAACAGGAGTCCAGTCCCTGTGCTCCTCAGAGTCCCAGCAGGAGTCCAGTCCCTGTGCTCCTCAGAGTCCCAGCAGGAGTCCAGTCCCTGTGCTCCTCAGAGTCCCAGCAGGAGTCCAGTCCCTGTGCTCCTCAGAGTCCGGGCTGGTTCATATGGGACTAACATGTCACTAATATATTTTGGTGCGAGGCCATGGAGAGACTTGTAACAAGCAGAGCTGTTTTAAAGTCTATTCTCTGAGCCACAGGAAGCCAGTGCAGAGACCTGAGGACTGGACTAATGTGGTCGTACTTCCTGGTTCTAGTCAGGACTAATATGGTCGTACTTCCTGGTTCTAGTCAGGACTCGAGCTGCTGCATTTTGAATGTACTGCAGCTGTTTTACAGCCTGTTTGGACAGACCTGTGAGCAGGCCATTGCAGTAGTCTAACCTACTGGAGACAAATGCATGGATAAGAATCTCCAGGTCTGCTTTAGACACTATGTTTTTGATCCTGGCAATGTTTTTAGGTGGTAAAAAGCTGCTGATGTTACTGATTTGATGTGGCTGTTAAAATTTAAGAGACGGTCTCCATGGTAACGGGCAGGAGGAGGAGGTCTTTGTAGTTGTTTGGAGCACGAGTGCGACAGAGGGACTGAACGTTGTTGTCGTGACGCGGTTCAGAGCCTCCGTCTGGTTTAGAATGATTCTCAAGGTCAAAGGAAGACACTGAAGAAGGTCCAGGATTAAAGAAGCACGCACACACATACACACACACATAAATACAGTACAAACACACACACATACACACACACAAGAATACAGTACAAACACACACACATCCATACACACACACATCCATACACACACACACACATCCATACACACACACAAAAATACAGTACAAACACACACACACACACACACACACACAAAAATACAGTACATACGCACACTCACAAACATACAGTACAAACACAGACACACATACATACAGTACAGTGCCTTGCGAAAGTATTCGGCCCTCTTGAACCGTTCAACATTTCGCCACATTTCAGGCTTCAAACATAAAGATCAAGAATCAACAACGTGGGACACAATCATGAAGTGGGACAACATTTATTGGATAATTTAAACTTTTTTAACAAATAAAAAACTGAAAAGTAGGGCGTGCAATATTATTCGGCCCCCTTGCACTAATACTTTGTATCGCCACCTTTTGCTGCAATTACAGCTGCAAGTCGCTTGGGGTATGTCTCAATCAGTTTTGCACATCGAGAGACTGGAATTCTTGCCCATTCTTCCTTGCAAAACAGCTCGAGCTCAGTGAGGTTGGATGGAGAGCGTTTGTGAACAGCAGTCTTCAGCTCTTTCCACAGATTCTCGATTGGATTCAGGTCTGGACTTTGACTTGGCCGTTCTAACACCTGGATACGTCTATTTGTGAACCATTCCATTGTAGATTTGGCTTTATGTTTTGGATGTTTTGGAGCCTCTTGGCTGCATCTCTGATCAGTCTTCTCCTTGTTTGAGATGAAAGTTTGGAGGGACGGCCGGGTCTTGGTAGATTTGCAGTGGTCTGATACTCCTTCCATTTCAATACAACTGCTTGCACAGTGCTCCTTGAGATGTTTAAAGCTTGGGAAATCTTTTTGTGTCCAAATCCGGCTTTAAACTTCTCCACAACAGTATCTCGGACCTGCCTGGTGTGTTCCTTTGTCTTCATGGTTCTCTCTGCGCTTTAAACAGAACCCTGAGACTATCAAAGAGCAGGTGCATTTATACGAAGACTTGATTACACACAGGTACATTCTATTTATCATCATCAGTCATTTAGGACAACATTGGATCATTCAAAGACCCTCACTTAACTTCTGGACTGAGTTTGCTGCACTTAAAGTAAAGGGGCCGAATAATATTGCACGCCCCACTTTTCAGTTTTTTATTTGTTAAAAAAGTTTAAATTATCCAATAAATTTCGTTCCACTTATATATCTTTATGTTTGAAGCCTGAAATGTGGCGAAATGTTGAAAGGTTCATACTTTACTTTCGCAAGGCACTGTACATACAGTACACACACACACACATACATCCAGTACACACACACACATACATACAGTACACACACACACACACATACATACAGTACACACACACACACATACATACAGTACACACACACACACACATACATACATACATACAGTACACACACATACAGTACACACACACACACACATACATACAGTACACACACACACATACATACAGTACACACACACACACACATACATACAGTACACACACATACAGTACACACACACACACACATACATACAGTACAAACACACACACACATACATACAGTACACACACACATACATACAGTAGAAACACACACACACACATACATACAGTACACACACACACATACATACATACAGCACACACACACACACACATACATACAGTACACACACACACATACATACAGTACACACACACACACATACATACAGTACACACACACACATACAGTACACACACACATACATACAGTACACACACAGACACACATAGATACAGTACACACACACACACACACACACACACATACATACAGTACACACACACACATACAGTACACACACACACACATACATACAGTACACACACACACATAGATACAGTACAAACACAGACACACATAGATACAGTACAAACACAGACACACATAGATACAGTACACACACACACATACAGTACACACACACACACACACACACACACATACATACAGTACACACACACACACACATAGATACAGTACACACACACACACACACACACACACATAGATACAGTACAAACACAGACACACATAGATACAGTACACACACACACACATACAGTACACACACACACACACACATAGATACAGTACACACACACACACATACAGTACACACACACACACACACATAGATACAGTACACACACACACATACAGCACACACACACACACACACATACATACATACAGTACACACACACACACACACATAGATACAGTACACACACACACACACACATACAGTACACACACACACACACACATAGATACAGTACACACACACACACATACATACATACAGTACACACACACACACACACACACACAGATACAGTACACACACACACACACATACAGTACACACACACACACACACACATAGATACAGTACACACACACACACATACATACATACAGTACACACACACACACACACATAGATACAGTACACACACACACACATAGCTACAGTACACACACACACACATAGATACAGTACACACACACACACACATACAGTACACACACACACACACACACATAGATACAGGTAAATCACAAACTAATTGATTAGAATAAATCGACAACTCATCGATTGCAAAATACTTGTTGGTTACAGCCTGAGTCACAATATTCAGATTCAGTTTTTTTCCCGTTTGCGGTAAAACCACAATAAAATCCAATCAATTTCAAACAACAATATTTTTCTTTTCAACATTATCTCAAAAATGGCTTCTTTTCCATAGAGTTACGTTGACACCTGCCGTTCTTGACAACAGAACTAACTGATCACGGTCTGAGGTCAAAACAATCATTCATATGCAGCTCTAACTTCCAGATTGAGGAGGACAGAATGGAAGCGAGTCCTTGGGAGCTGCTTCCTGGAGTCTGTGTCCTCTGTCTCCGCTCTCCTCGAGTCTTGATGTGATTGTTATAGATCCAGTTTCCCCCGTGAGCCTCGTTAGCGGTGGCTCCCACATTAGCGCTAACTCTAACCCTAACTGTGTCCGCGCATCACATCCAGAACGGCTCTGAGAACGGTGTACTCGAGTAAAAGTACAGCTACATGGTCCAATATGACGTATGAAGCCCATAGAGGTCCATGAGTGCGTGGCTGACATGCTTGCAGTCAGTACTTACTACGGTGGGGGTGGGTTATTTTTGGTTTAAGGTTAGCCCCTGTGGACCTTTGAATGCATGTTCTTGTATGGCCCTAAATCACAACAGTAGTTATCAAAATCAGAATCATTTTATACGGGGCGACAGTAGCTCAGTTGGTAGAGCATTGGCCTTAAGGCCAGAAGGTCGCCAGAAGGTCGTGGGTTCAATTCCCACCTCTGCACCTTCTCCACCGACTCCCACTGATGACTGCTGTCGTTGTGTCCTTGGGCAAGACACTTAACCCCACTTTGCCCAAAGCCCCCGCTGAAAGATCAAGGCTATGCTCACACTCAGAGAGCAGCCGTCCTCCTGTGGACTCACCACCTGCAGAGGGTCAGTGAGGGGCTGGTGCTATGAGACTTGGGTGGCATCTCTGACTGCCACCCCCCTGACCCAGAAATGGAAAAAAGGGTAGAAAATGGATGGATGGATGGAGAATCATTTTATCAGAGTCACTATCTCAGAGGACTTTACAAAACCGTCAAAATCGCTAACACAGATCAGAGAATCAACAGTTCAAACAGAAAGAATATAGAACACATATGTATTGGTCCATAGGGAGTTGACCAAAAAGTTTTGATAAATGTCCATACATGTTGTAGAATGTTGAGTGTCCTGGATCATCACCACAGTCCTAGTTAATAGACCCACAAACAGTCTAAAAA